CTGCTGATATCTGCTCCACCATCTTCCCTTTTACTACTTTTATAATATTGTTTTTTACATTTAGCTCTCTGATCTGTGAGGCATGAGGTAGGAGTCTAACTTTTCTTTCATGTTAATCAGCTATTTAAAAACAGTTTATTAAATAGCCAGTGTTTTTATTAGTGTTATGAAATGTCACCTTTATTATATACTACATTTTCTTATAATTAAAGAGACTGTTCCTGAAATCTGTCGTGTTCTTTTGGTTACATGTTTACACCTGTGCAGTTACTGTACTGTTTTTTTTTTTTTTTTTTTGACTGTACTGTTTTAATTGCTGCAGTTACTTAGTACATAGTTTTTTTTTTTTTTTTTTTTTGCGCGGTCCGCGGGCCTGTCACTGTTGTGGCCTCTCCCGTTGTGGAGCACAGGCTCTGGACACGCAGGCTCAGCGGCCATGGCTCATGGGCCTAGCCGCTCTGCAGCATGTGGGATCTTCCCGGACCGGGGCACGAACCTGTGTCCCCTGCATCAGCAGGCGGACTCTCAACCACTGCGCCACCAGGGAAGCCCCAGTTCTTCTTTTTAAACTATATTGGTAATGTTTTATTTTTAAGCTGGATTGTTGTAACATGGGTCTTTATTATGTTATTTTTTATACTTTTTCTTTGAGATATTTCCTAATGCATCTTTTAAATCCTGTAGGATTTACTTTAGGATTTCATTGAATCTAGAATGTAATTGCATGAGAATTGACATCTATAAAATTTTGAGTAATGCCATTGAGAAACATGGCATACATCTTCATTTATACAGACCTTTTCATGTTCTTTTAGTAAGCTTAAAATTTTCATCATGTTAAGTTTTGCACATTTTTTGCTAGGTTTTTCTAGAGTTTATGGATTTTTGTTGCTATTCTGAATGATATTGTTTTGCTGTTAAATTTCCTAGTTGGATTTTTTTTTTTTAGCTAGTGTATAGGCAACTAATAATTTTTATAAACTAATTTTTTATCCAGACACCATACTGAACATTTTATATTTCCTAAATTTCTCCATATAGTGACATTTTTTTTGTCTTAATTCTGTACTTTTTTCCCTATTAATATCTTACTGCACTGACTAAGACCTCCAGTATAATGCTGAATAGTGTCAGTGATGGCTAAACATTCTTCTCCTGACTTTAATGGGAAAGGTTCAAATTTACTTAAGCATAAAATGAATATTTTAGTGAACACGTTTACCTGTGCATTTAAGTTATTGTGTATAATTTATCATCTATGATATATATTATCAATGATTACATTTTCAACAGTTTTTAAAGATTATAGAATACTTGAATCCTGTCGCCATATTGTTTTAGTATGACTTGTAATTTTTGTTGAAAGTCATATGTGATAATACTCTGGGTAAAAGGAACTGAGGGAAATAGGCCTGTAGTGTGAATTTTTATGTTTATCTGAGTGGGGGTCAGGCTTTATTTACTGTTTGTTGTAGTTGTAGGTGTCACAGGATGAAATTTCCTTGTTTTTGTGCCATGTTGTCTTTGGTTTCCCTAGAGACTTCTCCTTAAGTAAGGTCTGAGATGTCCAGTTCTTTCAGTTATATTTCCCTGTTGCACAGGAGCCCTGTTGATGTATTGGTAAGATGTTGTGCGTGGGGAAGCATTATATACTGCTGTGGTTAGGGTTCAGTCTTTCAGTGAGCCTGTGCCCCTGGGCTGTGACCTATATAAGTGCTTCTCAGTTTTGATTTTTACTCTGCAGTTGAGACAGAAAGGCTGGAGGAGGCTGGAGTTGGATATTTCCCTTCCCCAAAGTTGGTTAGTTTCTGGTAAAACCCTAGTCAGTTAGGCTCTGGTAAAATAGTTTCTTTTGAGGATAGGCTTTGTTAAGAAGAACAGGCCAGGCAAATTTCCATACCGCCAAATTGCAGAAAGGCATTGTAAATCGCTGAGAGAACCCCACCTGGGGCCTAGCTTCTGGTCTGTTCTGAGTCTCAGAGTTCAGGCAAAGTATCAGACCTCTCCTGATTTCCATTAGCTCATTGAGAATACAGAGATTGGATTGGATGAAGTATTAGTTACCTAAGATGATGCAAGTTCATCTAAGTCATAGTGGCTTAAAACAGATTTTTATTATCTCACAGATTCTGTGGTCAGGAATCCAAGCACTGTGTAGCCAAGTCCTCTGACTTAGGATCTTTCTAAGGCTACAGTTAAGATGTCACCTGGGACTGTAATTATCTCGGGGTTCAATACGGAGAGGACCAGCTTTCTAGCTCACTAAAGGGGTTGTTGGAAGGGTTCAGTTCCTCTCTGAATCCTAACAAGAGTCTCAGTTGGAAAAAGTGCCTCAGTTCCTTGCTGGCTGTTGGCTGGAGGGCTCCCTGTTTCTTGCTCCACAGGTCTCTCCATAGAACAGCTCACAGTGTGGCGACTGGCTTTCAGTAGTATGAGCGAGAGAGCAAGCAAGATGGAAGTCAAAATCTTTGTGACATCCCATCACTTTTGCTATGTTCCGTCCTGTAGAATTAACTCACTAAATCTAGTTCACACCCTCCTAAGACTGGGCACCCCTGGAGTTTTTTTAACTCTCCAGCTGTCTACACTCGTCTTCCGGCAATTCACCAATTACAGTTTGTTTTCCTACATTGGTCCTGCACTGACTGGAGGTTTTTGCTCTAGTACATTGTGATTTTCTGTATTTGCCTATGTCTCCAATTCTGGGGGCAGCAGTTTGCTCTGTGATCTCAGTTCTCTAAAGGATGTAAGAACAGTTGTTGGTTTTCAGTTTGTTCAACTTTTTTGATTGTGTGGATGGGCATGACATCTTCTGAGCTCCTTACATGTCAGGCAGGAAACCAGAAGTCATATTTCCATATTTTTTAAGGTTGATTTGTTTATTGCCAGCATTCATAATGTTTGTAATAAAAATGTATCCTGTTCCAGTATGTGATACAGGTATACTCAAACTAGAATGGCATAGATTAGGAATTTAAAGAGTGGGAGCATAAGGCTTTAGAATTATGAGACATTAGAACTACATTTTCTGATACACAAAGGATTTGCAGTTTGAGTTTTTTGTGCACATATAACATGTCTGTATTGTGTTATTGTTTAATAATACATAATTGTATGAAATATTCCACAAGAATAGGATTTTTGACTTGCTGAGAAAAATGACACAAAACTTAACAGGGCTGTGTGGTTACTATCGTAGAAGAACAGCTTGCTTGTTGGCATGAGGAAAAAACATTTAAAGGATGTACTAATAATTGTGTGTTTACAGTCTACAAAAACATATCCTTGCAGCTCTA